ATAATTAGAATTATGGTATTGCTCTTGTTGTTGGTCTTGTTCAATTGTCTTACATTTCGCATATGATGGGGATTATGAAACCAATAAAGGCTAAGACGTTGTTATTGTTGTTATTATTATTGTTTGTCAATAAACATGTAGATTTAAGTAATCAAATTTGAATTTCACCCTCATATTGCGCACATCTACATATGTATGAACACATATGTGTTGTGTCCACACGCACACACGCACACAATTTTATTTTGCATAAATTTGTGTTTGTACTTCACAGGTGGAAAACGGCCGGAGGCCTTTTCTGGAAAATGGAAATTAAAATATTAAAATATAAAGCTCATCAAATAACAGCCAACAAATGCAAGTCTATTGTTGTTGTTGTTGAAATAATTCAAAAGCTTAGAAAACATTTGCCACTTATTTTAAGTTTTAATAAAAGCCCATTTATGGGGAGATATGTTTTGTTAAGACTCCAATTGGTGGGGCCTCTTAGGTGTTGCCTAGACTCGATTTTGTTAAAATACCTGCCTCCGGTGAACAAATGAAAATCTCCAATATTCGAAACATATTCATAACACAGATGCAAATAAGCCTTTAACACATATCGAATTGAAAGCAACTAACAAACATACATACATACACATGTACACAACAGATAATATTGTTTATGGTCACGTGTGTTTAATTATAACATGTTACAATTGCAGTTGTTGTTGTCATGTTTCAGGTGAACTATTGCATTTGTGTGTGTGGGCGTGGACGTGCTACAGAGGGGCGGGGGACATATTTGCATCCATTAATAATAAAGTATGCGGCACTTGTAAGAAACACATACTCACGCATTAGGAGAGCGTGTGTGTGTGTGCGTGTGTGTGAGCTGTAGTCATTATTTGTTTATATTAACTGTTTTGATTTCAAATTATCAGAATGGAATTGAAATCAAAACACATTAGCTAGCACACAGAGACTCGCTCGTGCTTAAGCACTGATTCAAACACGCACACACACAGACACAGACAGAGACAGACACAGTCACACACATTTATGGTCATGAAATTCCAATAAAATTGTAAATTTTAATTTATAACGATAGGTATCATCATTAAATTCAATACAAACTAATTTACACAAAATGCAGTAAACCAAATGTGCGTAAACATGTGGTCCTTCCAACACACGCACCCACACAATTGCACAACGGTACGTACATATACAGGCGGGCAGGCAGAGAAGGCAGTGTGGCACCAAAATGCCACTTTGCACGCACACAAATTGCACTGCACTGCACTGACTGGAAATACAGTGTATCAATAAATTATTTAAACAAATATTTTAATTGAATGGATTTTGGGATTATTTAATTGCTATGGATATAAACCTACCTATATGAGTACATGATATTTGTAAGTAATAAATAGATCTGCTGGTTTTGGGGATAGCTCAGGTAGATGTGAGAAAATCTATAAATTTGCTAGATATATGATTGACTCTTGTAATAGATTTAAAATCTTTCTTTACTTTTGCATTACCAGTGGGTTGCAAAATTATAAAGCAAAAGAAAATTTTATCCTCATAACACAGTATAGGATAAAGGCTCCGTGCCGCCGATGCACTGTGATTCCACATGCATGGGAAGGTGTGAAAAACAAGATTTCAATATAATTAATCGATCTGATTTTTAATTAGAATAGCTTCTTAATGATTAAAAACAAGTAAAAAAGCTGTAAGTTCGGCCGGGTCGATCTTTGAAAAATCTCCACCATTTGAAACGATTTTGGAAATTATCAAAAAATAAATAAATAAATAAAATCCGTTAAAAATTTTGCTAAAATCTTAAAAATACCGAATGTAAACCTTTTATTAGGGTCTATACGACGACGTGGACCTGTATAGGCAACTTTTGCATTAACCATTACAATATTCAAATGCGAAACTTGAAAAAATTTTGTTGAATAATCTCGCTAAAATCATCAAAATTCCGAATATAGGGAGGTACCGTTATACGAGGGGCTATACGAAGACGTGGGCCTGCACAGACAATTTTCTGTCATAGGCTCAATCAATTACGAACTTCAAATACCAAATTTGAAACAATTTCGTTGAGTAATATCGCTTAAATCATTAAAATACCGAAAAAAGGGAGGTACCATTATATGGGGGCTATACCAGGACGTGGACCTATATATCCCATTTTCAATACCAAAAGTTCTGCAGACATAACACACATTTTGAGTAAAATTTTATCAACTTACTTAATTTCGTTCGGAAGTTAGAGTGATTTCTACAGACTGACAGACGGATAGACGTACGGACATCGATAAATCTACATAGAATTTTCTGCTAATCAGGAATATATATACTTTATGGGGTCTAAAATGCCTCGTCCACAAGAGACAACATTTTGAATCAGGATTACATTACCGAAATAAAAAATGCATCGCGATTTTCTCCTTATTTCATTTTTTTTTTTAATATTCGTATACGGATCCAGTCTAAAGCTTGAATATTTCTGCCCACGCTTTTTTGGTAACTCCCCAAAAATAATTATAAACAAGTAAGCAAAGGCTATAGTCGTGCGGGGTCGACCATGTGATACCCTACAATACTACAATATGTTCGAAGTCCCCTTATATCCAAATCCATTTTGGAAGATTTCGTTTTTGAAATAATGTCAAAGAGCCCCGCCCAGAGGTTACCCTTAGTTTTTTGGACACGGAGAATTTGGCAAAAGTTGTGAAAGTTGTGGTTCATTTTACAGCCACCATTGGAGTACATGGTCATCCAAAATGCAAGACTTCTTCCCTATCCTCTCTTCCGATGCGAAATTCCGTGTAGATTAGTTTCAATTGTGGCCTATAGAACGACTACAAAATTAGAAAAAAATAAAAATTTTTTAGTCCATTTGCACCTCTAAATGTACATCTTAAGAACAATAGGCTTTAATTCTGACCCTAACCCCCATGCCAAATTTCGTGAGGATCTGACGATAAATACGACATGCATATAATACCCTCAAAACGTAGTGTTGAAGGGTGTAAACATTTAGAAAATTTACAATTCAAAATTGCAACTCAAATTGAAAAAACCGCATGCGATAAAAAATATGACAAGAGTTGAAAAAAATGGAACAAAAAATATTCACTTTTTTATTGGTATATTTTTCCGCGATTTTCTTAAATTTTCTGCTTTTCTGGCAAAAGACCATTCCGAATTGATGGGAATTGTGGAAATCGGCCCAGCGTTTCTTGATTTATAAGCAGAATAAATAAGATCAATTCTTTTACATATATATTACCCATACCCATTTTGTTACATATCCGATTCCTTGGCTATTAGCATCACTGTAATGGTCAGAAGTGATCTTTTAATGTATTTGTGATTTGGCTGGGGTTGAAAATATTTGCGGTTTAGTGGAAATTTTTCTATTTTCTTATATAAAAGTTAGAGTCTGTTTTACCCGCTAAATATTGTCCGATGGCACCTAAACACTAACTCGCGTCGATTGGTTCATGAATGTGACCTATAGGGCAACTGCAAAATCAGGAAAATCCATTTGAACCCCTAAATATCGTGCGATCATCTCCAAAAACAATAGGGTTCTATTTTGACCATAACCCCACCTCCATTTTAAATTTCGTGAGGATCGGTTCATAATTCAACATGGACAGACGGACGGACGGACATACATAGCTAGATCGACTCATCTCGGCGAGATAGGAAGATCCATATATACTTTCCTATGTGGGAAACCAATATTTCGAGGTGTTACATAATTTTTGGCCCAATCAAACTTATAATACCCCCAACACATAGTGTTGTAGGGTATAAAAATAACTGAATCAATATTTTAGTTTGATCTTTGCTCATCGTAATATTTGGATCTCACTAAATTCCTGTACGAAAATAGACAAGTAGCCAAGATTTTCAATAAACACAACTCTCACAATAAAGAGCGTTAACCAACTGAACTGACCAGAAGACCAAAAAAAAATGTTCAACGAACTCGTCTCTGTCGAGACCACGTGTCATGCACGTCAAGCCTTTCTATTTTGGTCTAGAAACTTGTGATCTCCAACTCATGGTAATGTTCACGATCCACAGTTACAATACAATTCGAAGCATCTTTGAAGAAGTACAATCCAATTGGCATTGGTAGCTCTCACAATGCTTCTGGGTGATATTTACTCTAAAATCGATCATTTTGCGCTGAACACAAGAAGCGCGCGATGAACTCTCTTAACAAAGCATCAAGCGATGCTGGTTTGCAATTCATGATTAAATTATAGACAAAACTAAAGATGTTTGACAGTGAAACAAAGTACAAATGTGCATGATATCTTTAAACCAGTGTTACCAAAAAAAAAAAATAATAGCTAAAAATTAACCTTTATAAAAAATGATGTTCTGATTTGTTATCAAACTTAGGACTTTGCGAAGTTAATACCAAAATGAAATAAATTGCAATGATGGGATCTTTCCCTTGTTCTTACTTCGAAGTCTTTAAAAGGGTTCCCTCGCTCCACTGGCTGTCGTAAATTTTTCTCATAAGCTAAAAATGTATCTATATGCTATTTAAAAGTCAGAACGTGAAATATATACCTCTATTCTGACAAACAAATTCATAAACAAACTATTTCCCAATTCCATTTGTTTTTTCTCTCTGTTTGTTTGAAATCCATTTATTGTCACATTTTATGGAATTTATTACCGTCCAACAGTGACTTTTTTGCACCATACCTGTCCGGGATGTTGCAGCTCTACGAATGCGGACACTTAATTTGGTGCACGAGACCAACCAAAAAAAAATGGATTTAATTAATTTTACCACATTACGGCGCTAGTTTCAGTCGGTAGCCTGTTGGTTAATAAATCCATATGTGCATATTGGCCAACTAGAATTTTAATTATTTTATGCCGCTTATCAATTTAATGACTAAATTACATAATTAGCTGTTGGTTGTTGGTTTGTTACTAATGTGGTTTACGTTCTCTTTGTTTTTTAGGTTCAACGCTGACCTAGGAGCTATGGACCAGCAATTCTGTCTACGCTGGAACAATCATCCGACAAATTTAACCGGTGTCCTCACCTCCCTGCTGCAACGAGAAGCACTTTGTGATGTTACTCTAGCCTGCGAAGGTGAAACAGTTAAGGTATGTGTCATGGCTATTAATGAGAGTAGGCAAATGTGTAAACTAGACGAGGGGTTTTTAATTGCAATTTTCAAATGATTACGTGTTTGGAGTGAGCGACAGAATAACACAAAATACATTATGAATATATAGCATAAATATACAGGGTGAGATAAAAAACTGCAACCAATTTCAGACTGCTGTCATTTCTAAGACACTCATCCGACAGCTGTTAAAATTATTCCAGGCACAGCTCATTATATTGTTTACAAGCGTACAAAAGCATTTAGGTGAGAATTTTCCAGAAAAAAAGTTATTCGTGATGGAATTCAAGCGCGATAGGGTGATTTCGTTATATTTAACTGGATAACAACAAGAGCACTCCACAATATTCCATTCGGCAAATATTGAAAAATGAGCTCGGAGCCATTGAAATTCCAAAAAGTGCAAGAAATTACACGACAACAGGAAGAAAATAGACTCAAAAGAGCTAAAGAGTTGTTTCGCTTCGCCGAATGTGGTGAACTGCCGAATTTGGTTTTCTCCGATGAGAAAACATTGGTTGCCCAACAGTTTGTAAACAAACAAATGGATCGTGTTTACTTGCCAAAGAGGTCAGCTGAAAATGTGCACCTTCGGTTGGCTATTAGAACTCAAGCGTCGGCCATGGTGATGTTGTGGGCCGCTATAACAGCCGATGGTCGCTCTCCGATCGTATTAATCGACCGTGGCCGAATAATATCGCGAAAATATTCTGAAGGGTGTTTTAAAGCCTTGGGTACGCAAACATTTTGGCCGCAGACCTTGGACATTCCAACAGGACTCAGCACCATCGCACTCAGCACGCGCCGCCCGAGAATGGTTACAAAAAATCTAAGAAAAAAATGTAAAAAGTATGGCCTTTGACTTTGTTGCAGTTGTATATCTTACCCTGTATATTCTTGATCAGCATAAAATTCTATGTCGATTTAGCGATGTCCGTCTGTGGAAATCACTCTAGCCTCCGAACGAAATGAAGTAGGTAGATGAAATTTTATTCAAATGTTTATAATGTCTGCAGGACTTCTAGTATTGAAAATGTAGGTCCACGTTTTGGTATAGCCCCCATATGTACCTCCCGATATTCGGTATTTTGAGTATTTAACGACATTATTCACCGGAATTGTTATAAATTTAGTATTTCAAGTTCGTAATGGATATTACAGCCTATGAAAGAAAATTATCGGTGCAGGTCCACGTTTTGGTATAGCCCCCATATAATAGAACCTTTATTTTAATGATTTAGCTACATTATTGGCTATGCAAGTCCACGTCGTCGTATATAACGGCTACATTCGGTATTTTTAAGATTTTAACAGAATTTTTAACGGATTTTATTTGTTTGAAAATTGCCATTCATTCATTCCAAATGGTGGAGGGTATTCAACATCATACATCTTTTTTACTTGTTATTTTTTAAAACAGCATATACATGCAAAAAATCGGCAGAAGTCGGGCACACTTAAAAAAATTGTAATCAGCTGGTAGCTCTACCTTACCTTTTTATTATACTATGTGTTCAACTTTGAAGTTTTTGAAAATAATTTCCCTTGAATTTTTATAAGCAAAGCGAATTTGGGTAACATGTAATTAGATTTACAAACACACACACAGACACATACATTAATATCCGATTAACAAAATTTTTTTGGTTTTCTTTCTATATTTGCAGGCTCATCAAGCCATATTATCAGCATGCAGTCCATATTTCGAAACAATATTCCTGCAAAATCACCATCCACATCCAATAATATACTTGAAGGATGTCAGATACTCAGAGATGCGTTCCCTGCTGGATTTCATGTACAAGGGCGAAGTCAATGTCGGCCAAAGTTCATTACCGATGTTCCTCAAAACAGCCGAAAGTCTGCAGGTTTGTCTTGGCATCATTTGCAATTGGCATTCGAAATGGTTGTACTAATTTTGTTTTCTATTCTGTTGCAGGTGCGCGGTCTCACAGATAACAATAATCTAAATTATCCTTCCGAACTTGACAAACACCGCGATGCAGATATTTCTTCGCCCACTGGCCGAACATCATACGGTGCTGGCGGCGGCGCCGGCGGACCAGGTTTGGGCATGCGTGGTGAACGCGAATCACGCGATCGAGGTCGCGGTGAAATGCGCGACGACCTGCACTCACATCGCAGCAGCAGTAGTCTCAGTGAACGCAGTTCAGCGACCGCGGCTGCTGTCGCTGCAGCTGTTGCCGCGGCTAGTGGAAACGCCAGTTTACAGTCTGCCGCCGCAACGCTAGGCCTAACCGGTGGCGAACGATCTCCTAGTGTTGGTAGTGCCAGTGCAGCAGCTGCCGCTGTGGCAGCCGTTGTTGCTGCCGCAGCCGGTCGCAGTGCTAGTGCCGATGTCTTAAACAGTCGCGGCGATGCCGGCAGTGATCGTGGCAGCGATCGCGGCAATGACAACAGTGTTTGTGGCGGTGTAGATCGTGGCGGTATTGATGAGCGTCGCGATGATCTGGGCCAAATAGATTACAGCAATCAGAGCAAGAGAGATCGCGACAGAGAGGTGTCAACCACACCAGAGCATATTATTAGTAATAAAAGAAGACGTAAGAACTCATCTAACTGTGATAATTTGTTGACCTCGACCCCAAATGCGAATGTACAGGACAGGCATTACGCTCAAGACTCTCAGGTAAGTTACAAAAGAAGTAACTCAGTTAGAAAACGAATTGTTTGTAAATGTTGACGTGAACTTCCAAATCTAGAAGAATCTAGAAAATTAGTAGATTTAATAAAAATGATTCATGTGTTATCGACAGATTTAAGGCATTTTGAGATTTTAGTCATTGTTATTTTGGTCAACATTTTTGAATAATCATAACCAAAAAATTTATTCTCCGAAATTTTTGGAATTGTGCACATTTCCGCACTATTAATTGAGTTATGATATGATTTTCTACCAAGCGCAAACATGGCAAACTGTTGAAAAACAAATTGAACATTTTATTGGAATATTAGGAAACGAAATGAGAATCCAATCCCAACTTCGTGCAGTGTAATATTAATATAAGACTCATGCTCCTTCACGCTCACGAAAGGTCAAACTTTTGAATAATTATGACTTTCGTAGTCACTCCTTCTGGAACCTCCGCGGCAAAGGTTGAAATTTATAAAAGGTCTAAATTATATTTTAACGATGCGTAGTATACCATGGACTCTTAAATTTGCACCTCGCAATATAATACCCCCACCTCGGAAAAGAGGGTACATTAACTTTGTCATTCCCTTTGTGACATCCCTAAATAATCGTCGTAGCCTCCATAAAGAATATATATTCATGTTCAGCATAAAATTCTAAGTCGATTTAACGATGTCCGTCTGTCTGTTGAAAACACGATACAGCCTACATTATTCGACGTAGAGTTTCAAATTCATTATGTCTAGGATAGTTGTCTTACGGGTATTTGTAGTTTAAAGTGGAACATGTTTGAATTCAGATACTTTTATATTAAAAATGTTTTCTTTACCCAAAGGTGGAGGGTATTCAAAGTTCGGTGCGGCCAAACTTAATGTTTTTTTACTTGTTACTTTTTGATCAGTAAGCAGGGATACCTTCCAGAAAAGGTACTTCTCGAAAAGTTTCCTGGTTCAACCATAGTCAAATACAACACATATATGCTCATTTTCGAATGTCAATATATACAAATATATAAACTATTTAAGAAGAATAGGACTAAATCGGATTAGTTTAAATCGGAAACTATATCCCCAAATAAATAAAAATGCAAAAAAAAAAACCTGGAAAATATTTCAAAAAAGACCGCGGACCTTTATTTGTCAATTTCAACTCCCGATTTATATACATAATATGTCTAATTTGATAAATAATATAATAAACAATTTTATTCTTATTTTCATTGCATACCTTTAGGCGCCCTCAAATTTTAAATCAAGTCCCGTGCCAAAATCTTCAACTGGCGGTGGTGGTGGCGGCAACACATCAGAAACAGAGGACTCTGGAGGACGTCGAGACTCCCCCCTTTCAGCTAGTGCTCTCAGCGGAGGCGGCAATGTCAATGCATCGTCTGGCGGCATGGGCCTCAATCAGTCGCTGAGTATTAAACAAGAACTAATGGACGCCCAACAACAGCAGCAACGTGAACATCATGTCTCATTGCCCCCAGAATATTTGCCGGTAAGTTGTGACAACTATTTCGTAGGCATATATTTTGAAAATAACGAAGAAGAAACCATCACGTGTCACTCAAATCAATCAAATCAATCAAAAAACAAAAATTGCTTAATTTGTCCTCATTTATTTGCTTTACTTTGTTAAGGTTTTTTCTTTGGACCGGTACGATGGTTCCAATTGTTGTTTTTTTATTTTTGTTTTTTTTTTTTTATTTTGAGTATCGTTGCCAAATTATTTCTATATTTTAGATTCGTTTCGTTAGAATTATGTCCATTTATTTTTAAAATTGAAATATTTTGCCTTGTTGCGTACAAAAATGCTTTAAACCTTAAAAGTGCTACAAAATTTTCACCATTTTAAGAATCCATTGAATCGTTGATGGCGTAGGAATAGCGTGGCCCAAAGAAGGAGGTTAAACAGAAAATGTTTTTCGTTTTCTCTTTTGATTCTCTTGTGGAAGGACGATGGATTATTGAGATTATGTTGTTAAGAATGAATTTTCGTAAATATCGGCCGTGAAAAAGAAAAAATCTAAACAATTTAAAGAGTTTTACTTTGCTGCAAAGAAATGACCATGTGTATGGGTTCCTTGTCCCACAGCCGGGACAGGCACCAGACGAATGCATGCCATTTGGTGCACATAGATTATCACACAGTTTTCCTTTCTTTAATGTTTTCAAAACCAGAATACAACGAACGTATTGTCAATTTCATTTCCTCTTGAGTTTAATTTTTTGTTTGTCTTTATTTTCTGTTTCTTGCGTTCTTTTATACGAATCTGTCCGTTTGAAACATAGACTACCATTAATCTCGATAATCCTCGACAACCCAAATCAGGCAATAGTAATCCGAAGCAAATCAGCTTTGCCGAAACATTTTCAAAACAGTTGCAATACGAGTACGAACAATTTCACAAACAGCAGCAGCAGGAACAAGGGAGGATGCAAAAAGACCATCAGCAGCAGCAGCAACAACAACAACAACAGCAGCAGCAAAGTATGATGTTTCAACATGCTGTTGAAGTTCAACTTAAAAGGTTACAACAACAAACCCAGCAACATATAAAGAATACATGGCAGCAGAATGTGGCAGATATAGAAATGGCTGCCTCATCGACCATCCAACGTCTGTTGCAACAGCAACAACAGCAGCAGCAACAGTTTCTGACCAGCGCCAGTGAGGCGTCTACTTCACGCAACATATCTGGCAGCACAAGTCTCGGCTTTCAAAGGGCCTCACCCAGCCTAGGTCCGCCGCCAGCTTCTGCGACGTCACGCAAAAATGGCCGCTTCCGCACGAACTGGCTGCTCCTGTACGACTGGCTACAGTATGACGAACACACCAACCAGATGTACTGTAAATTCTGTCGCAAGTGGTCAAGTGAATTGCCGGACATCCGGACATCATTCGTCGAAGGCAACTCGAATTTCCGCCTTGAAATTGTCAATCATCACAACAAATGTAAATCACATCGCATGTGCTACGAAAGAGAAAGACAGGAGTGTCACATGCAACAAAAGGATGTTGTCAAAGCGACATCAATGTTGGCAACAGAACTGACGAAACCCGAAACAAGACAAGAAGGCCACACAGTCCCCACAGCGAAACCGCCAGAGATCATAACCATTAATGTTGGCGATGACAGCTCCTAAAAGGCCATGTCTTGGCCTAAAACCACATTTTCTGATTAACTCTCAGGTCAAGTGCGAATATGAAATGTTAGAGCCCACCTACGCATAGGAACACAACAATTCAAATGTCGCCATCATCGATATCGTTCACACCGCATGTTTTATTATAAGAAATTATATACATACATACATTTATAGGTTTTAAGTTTTAGTTTCTAGCGATTAGAGATTTCGTACTCGTTTAAGGTTTAAAGCATTACTGTAAATAAACTCCGAACCAATTACTCAATGAGTAAGGATATGTTTCTAAGAATTTTCGATTTTGTTTTTCTTCTTCTCTTTGTCTGCCTGTCTGTCCGCCTGTCCTAATCTCATCCTCAACAGCCCGGAGCCTTAAAGCACTCCGAAGACATGGCATCATTGCTATCAAGCCATTCAATGCAAGCAGCTGACTCACGAGAGGATCACAATGATGCGAAACAATTGCCCTTCGACCAGTCCGACAACATTGACGGTAAGTCCTTTTGCCATTGTCCTAGAAGCATTTTTTATTCTAGTTTGCGTTCAGTCTAAATTGTTTGATAGACACCTCTTTCTAGATTTGTTTTTGTAATATTTATGTAAAAAGATCAAAAATCAAAGACCCTCAAAAAATCCAACGAACAAAAACAATTTTTTCATTATTTACCCTTTCTCTCTCTCTCCATATCAACAAACATACCAACAAATTATATATAAATACATGTATACATATGAATATCTCTATATAAATATATAAAAAATAATATACACATATACAAATAAGTCTTAGAAGTATCCTATCTATCTACCTATCTTTAGTTTGAAGTAGTTGCCCCTATTAATTTTGTTTCTTTTTCAGTTGTTTTAACTTAATTTTTTAACTAAATCCACACATTTACAGATGTTCAATACAAATGAGATGCGTCAGGTCTTCGTAAATACATCGAACATGGAGAAATTTAAGAAAAATTGTAATAAAATAGAACTAGAAAAAATGTAGAAAATTCGCGGCATGCCCTGATAGGCATACACTTAAGCCAGTATAAGCCTGTTGTGCGCTCTAGACTAAAGGTTTTTGAAAGAAGACGGGCAGTTTACAGTCTGTTATATTTGAAATTCAGTTGCCTTAATGCCATTCCTTAACTGTTTTATATAATTTACCCTGATCTAATTAAGGTCTGGTCTGGAGTCGTTCCCTAACGAATGTTTTCTCATCGGAGCCAAAAAAGAAGGAATTGCCGATTTTTCAAATATTTTTACCAAAAAAAAAAAAAAAAACTAACTATTGCGATTTCCAAAGAAATATTTCCAAATTGCTTGCACAAAAATAAATCACGGAATGATAAAGATATTTATCTGCTAGTTATTGCAAGAAGAAATGCATCCGACAAAAATTTGCAAACTCTCAGTTAAAGAACTTTCAAATTCTTATCTCTCCTAAATCGCTCTCTTCTGCAAAACTTTTGTGTTAAACAATAGCTACCCGACAGATCTAGTTGTGTAGTTGATAAATGAGACGCACCGTAAAAGAATAAAGTGAATCGCATACGCCTGAAACTAGGCAACGTTATTAATATAGCAATTTACCGTTTTTAGACAGAATATTGCTTTAGTGAAATTCAAAGAAATTAAATCCCAAAAATCAATGTGAATATTATTCTCATAATCGACATTTGAGTACAAATCTCGAAGGCGGATTAAAAAGTGTAACTAACATAAATACGTTTTACACCTTCGATTTCGCCACTAAAAGGATCAAACTAATTTGAGCTAAGTTGAATGTGTGACACAGTCTTATTGTATTCCTGGAATTGATAGTAATTAACTGAAGACATTTATAGAAACAGGTATAAAATTTATTGACCAACGCATTTCATTTGTAGAAAACTAAAATATGCAGAATACCCACCAAGGCTATGAAATTACAAAAAATAATAATAATTAAAAAACTATCGGTTTGGAAATAACAAAAATCCTTGTAAAGTACCAGTTTCTTTTTTAGCCTACTCATACCGTATGCATATATGCTACATATACGTAAATATGTATGTGTGTACATACATATTCGAATCTCCTGTTTTGATTAAAACACATGATTAATAACAATGGTCCCTCTCCCTCTCTTTTAGTATAATTTCCTTATTTTCTTTTAATTTTTGTTTGCATGCCTCAGAATTTTCACTTTTCAATCTACTATGCCGCGTAATACAAATATACTTTGCATACACATATATATATAGAATATCTCTTAAAATTTCAAAAAAATCCCTAGTGCTAATATTAGTCAAACACAAATAGAAAAAAGAAAAGAACATTCTAATACCATGAAAAACAAAAAAAAAAATGATTCTATTGCAAATTTAATAAAATGTTGTATATTGTTTGTAATTTTTATATGCTTGCGTAAGTATGTATAAATACCAAATCCCAATACATACATACACACATAAATTTTGCAGTGCACTCCTGTGGATATTTTAAACTGCTATAAAAACTACAAGCAAACAAACCTTAACTAAAATTTTTATTAAGTTACCACACACAAACGAATCTATCGCAAACCCGCTTTCAAACAAAGATTTACAATTTACCTTTTTAGGACAAATAGAAATTTAAAAAAAAAATGTATATCAGACACTTTTTTCATTTTATTGACTTTGAAAGCAACAGATCAACACCTCTCCTACCCAATTAGAGAATATTCGTGAACATATAATTTGTTATTTAAAATTTAGTTTGAACAAGAAATCATCTACCATATTGACGACCAGCCACTTAGTATCTGGTCCCTATATGGAAATTAAACAAAAAATCATAAATAAATACTAGTGTTATAACCCAGGACTAGGACAAAATATGTGAAGATCATTATTTAAATGAATCCACCCACCACCCGAAAGACAGACAGACAGACATAAACACACATATGAAGTCCATATAATTTGAGTTTAAGAACTTAGGTACATACATATCTTAATATATTATATTTAGAATGTGATCGTTCGTTCGTTCGTACGTTGCATGCTGCATGTCAATTAGCCTTTCTATTTACCTATACTCTCACATCTCTATATGTATCTTATATGCATTTCTCACTTTCTTCACATTTTTGCAGTTTTACTTTAGTTTTTTTAGTATTTTTTTTTTTTTTCGTTTTCTTTTTCACGTGTGTACCTCTCTCTTCCATACTTCATATCTTATGTCTTTCCTATCAAAAACACTTCCTTTCATTTCACTTTATTTTCATTTCGAAACCGAACTCTTATGTATTAGTAACAATTAACAGTTATATGACTTATTTCATTTGATTATTAAATTTATTTTTATTAATACTTTAGTTTTTTCCTTTGATTTTTTTTTTTTGTTATTTTTATATTGGTTTTATTTAACATTCATATCAAAAAAACATCAGCTAAATAACTTTCCTTTTGCGTGTGAACGCGCAAAAATGTTGAAACTAATATACAAACCAACTTCTAGACGATATAACCCTCATTCGAAAATGCGTAATAAACAAAAATTAAAAAAAAAACAAATATTACATTTTATATTCCAAATTGTCTACCCAATTCATATTAAAATACAAAAATGCCTCCGTTTTCTTTTCCATATATAATACTTAAGTATAAAAATTATTAGAAAAAAAAAAATAATTGGCTATAAATGTCAAACATTACATCCTAGTTATGCCATCGTCTATAGAATGCGATTATCCAGCAACCTATTCAGTCAAGTTATCAAAATGTCATTAAAGAACATGTCTTATGGAGGTGGAGCGCAGTTTAAGTTTTCCTTAACCCATCAAATTTCAATAAATAAATCCTAAATATACACTTCTTTTCCAAACCAAATCCCGTAAAAATAAAAAAAATAAAGTGGACTTTTTCTAAAACGATTCGAAAGCGAATTTCATGGAAAATACTCCAATGTAAGATATTTTCTCCTATTTTCTCCAATAATAGAATATTGACAACTTGTCTGGATGTTGCACAAATTCGCCCCACCCTGAATAATCTGATTGGTAAGCTCAAGCTACCTTTACAAGGTGACACACAAAGTCCATCTTCTCACTTCTTATGCTGTTAAAAAAAAAACATTTTTTTAGTTTAAAATTTATAACAAATATTTGTTTTTAACGAAAATATACGTTAGTATCTTTTAAATGAAAAAAAAAAACGCTTGACAGCAACAGAAGACGAAGCTTTGAATTTGTGTGATTTTATTAAATCTTGGCCTCTACGTAGTCCCTCTATCACAATCCAAGCAATAACATGATTTTTCATGATGACGCCAGTCACATCGTAATTAGCTCATCAATAAATAATTTAACATAAAAATCTCACTGTCATTTGTAAAATTTAAATAACCATTAACCCTAAAATAAATTGAACTATCGAATAAGGAGAAGCTTACGATATCGCGTACGTTTATACATAGATATATATGTATATACTGCTGATCATAAGTATAGGTAAACATTATTTTTAGAAAAAAATACCCATGGGTCAAATAAATATTCTAAATATTCTCTGAAATTCGATCAATACCATCACAATTAAGTTCTTTACACAGATAATCGATACAAAATTCCCATTATTTCATTTTGTAAAACTAATAGGGTAAACGTCGCATAAACCAGATCTCGCTATAAATTTGTTCCCCACATAAAAAAATATCCTAGACGAGTTGCTGCAACTACCTTAGGGTCCAAATTAAGATTTTGTATTAAATTTCTGTGAAAATTGGTCAAATAGTTTTTTTTTTCAAGTTCCAGGGAAGGAGAATTTTTCATTGGTAATTCCTCAAACCATGATGTTCCCACAGCAATTGAAGGTTTTACTAAAAAAATTGGAAGTAATCTTAAGGATAGATGTGGATAAGTGAAAACTAGTAAGGAAAAGTCAAAAGTCGGGCGGGGCCGACAACTATGCATATTTAGTAGAGCTCCAATAACAAAAGAATTGATTTGAAGTAGATCATACCACCTATCAACATTTGGCGGTAGATTAGTTATAATTTGGTTTCAGAGGGAACTAATATATGGGAGGCATATCCAATTACGAATCGATTATTCGGAAATATTTTTACACCAAATAACATTGCCATAGCCTGCATGATATCACTTCGAGAAGGATTGTATTAACATTAGAAAAGACGTAAGCAAGGGCTCTAGTCGTGCGAGGCCGACCATGTGATACCCTACAACACCACAATATGTTAGAAGCCCCCTTATGTCCAAATCCATTTGGGAATATTTCGCTTTTGAAATTATGTCATAGATATTACCCTTAGCTTTTTGATCAGGGGCATTTGCCCAAAATTTACGCATTCCGTCGTGTTGTTAATTCTTGGGGTTCACTTTACAGCTAAATATAATCCAATGGTCATCCAAAATGCTAGAATTCTTACCCCGTCCTTAACTCTCCCGGGCGTGGCAATTTTCTTTAATTGTGTGATAAGGATTTTTTGTCTGTTTTTGGTTCATTTGAACCC